TTACGGATGTGGAGAAAAAAGAGCTATCTAAACTATCTGAACCGAGTTTTACTAAATTTGACATACAAATTTCAATATTACATGTTCGTTGCACAATAAAAGACAAATCCGCCGAAGATATGTATGGGAGCTATATCGAAATCTGAACCGATCTTGATTTGCTGTATTTGATATATTTTCCCAAATATCGTTAGAGTGCATATTTCGGCTGCGGAGGACAAAAATAGCAAATATGTATATATATATATAGCATTTTCAGATTAAATGAAACCTTTTGCAATTCAAATGAATCTTTTTGCAGAGGGAATGAAACCTTTTGCAGTGGAATTGAAACCTTTTGCAGTGGAAATGAAACCTTTTGCAGCGGGAATGAAACCTTTTGCAACCGAAATGAAACCCTTTGCAACCGAAATGAAACCATTTGCAACCGAAATGAAACTTTTTGCAAATCAAATGAAACTTTTAAATTTATACAAGGAAAAATAACAAAACATTTTTATTTTTAGTAGGTTTAAAATGAAATAAACTAATTATAACTAATATATAGTTAAAGAGGAATTTTTATTGATTATTAATAACTATGTTTTTATAATTTTTTTTCTTAAGCTTACATAAAACACAAGTGTAGATGCAGAATGATTGAAAAAAGTTATTCAAGGTATTTTTTTCAAAGGACCCGAATTAGGTACCTTTTTATAATCTCCTCCATGGAAAGGAGGATATATTAAATTTGTCATTCGGTTTGTAACACCTCTAAATATTCGTCGTAGATCCCATAAAGTATATACAATCATGATCATAGTTGATTTAATGATTTCCACTTATCTGTCTACTGAAATCACGACTACTTTATCTCCATAATAAATAAAGCTGCGAAGCGGGAATCCTTTATTAGGAAAGATTAATAGTATACTATAACTATAAAAAATTGTGGTAAAGCTTAATTTCACATTTCAGTCCTGGCCATACCTATAAAGGCCAAAATTTGTTTAAATTTCTCTTTTTAGCGTTAAGCATTTGGGATTTAATAATATTGAAGCATTTTATATCAAATCAATAAAGAACCATTTTTTATTACAATAATTGAAAATTTAAGAAATAATATAAATAAATGTAGATATTTAGAATCAATAAAAAATCCTCTTTGTCAATATATTAGTTATAATTAATTGATTTAATTTAAAAACTACTAAAAATATAAATGTTTTGTTATTTTTCCTTCTATAAATTTAAAAGTTTCATTTGATTTGCAAAAAGTTTCATTTCGGTAGCAAATGGTTTCATTTCGGTTGCAAAAGGTTTCATTTCGGTTGCAAAGGGTTTCATTTCGGTTGCAAAAGGTTTCATTTCCACTGCAAAAGGTTTCAATTCCACTGCAAAAGGTTTCATTCCCGCTGCAAAAAGATTCATTTGAATTGCAAAAGGTTTCATTTAATCTGAAAATGCTATATATATATATATATATATATATATATATATATATATATATATATATATATATATATATATATATATATAATATATCAAATACAGCAAATCAAGATCGGTTCAGATTTCGATATAGCTCCCATACATATCTTCGGCGGATTTGTCTTTTTGAACGATTATCTCCAATTTCAATAGGGTTCGTCCTTGGGTCAAGCTAATTGATTGCGCATAATTTCATCTGGTTCGGACAATAAATGCGACTTTGTTTGCAAAAATACATGGACAGACGGACGAATCATCAAAAGGAACTGTGGGTCTATCTCACATTCTTCTCCATGTTACAAAAAAATGCACAAAGACATAATAGTATTTATACCCTACAACACTATGTGTTGGGGGTATTATAAGTTTGATTGGGCCAGAATTTATGTAACACCTCGAAATATTGGTTTCCCATATAGGAAAGTATATATGGATCTTCCTAGCTCGCCGAGCTGAGTCGATCTAGCTATGTATGTCCGTCCGTCCGTCTGTCCGTCTGTCCATGTTAATTTGTAATCACTCTACAGGTCGCAATTATGGTCCGATCTTCACGAAATTTAAAATGGAGGTGGGGTTAGGGTCAGAATAGAACCCTATTTCTTTTGGAGATGATCGCCAAATGTTTAGGGGTTAAAATGGACCAAATACTGAAAAAATGTCGGATTTTGCAGTAGCTATACAGGTCGCAATTATAGACCAATCGACGCGGAACTTCGCATGTAGCTAGAGTTTAGGGCGGGGAAGAAGCCTACCAATTTGGGTGGTCATCGGATAATATTTAGCGGGTAAAATAGACCATATCTTTTGTGTTGAAAAAATTCAAAATTTTTCATTAAACCGTGATATTTTAAATCCCGGCGAAATCACAAAGCCATCACAAGGTTACTTCTGATCTTTACATTGATGTTAACATCCAACAAAACGGATATATAGCAAAATATGTGCGATATATATGTCTATCAAAGAAGATATGCTTGAAAGATCTCTAATATGTCGAGAACGGCTGAACTGATTTCGACAGTTCTCATTAATTCAGAATGGCCTCTTGGCAGGAAAGAAAAAACGTCTAAAAAATCGCATAAAAATATCTCTCTAAAGATGAAAATATTGATTTTGTAAAATTTTCTCATATTATTTAAATTTTGTCATATTTTTGGCATATTTTCATTTTGCATTAAACATTTGGTAATATTTCTACAGCTAACAAAACTAAGTAGTTAGGATATCAGGATATCATATACAGATCGCATTTATGGTCCGATCCTTACGAAATTTTGCATGGGGATAAGATGAGGGTCAGAATAGAAGCCTACTCTTTTTGGAGATGATCGCCATATATTTAGGGGTTGAAATGGACCAAAAAACAGCAAAATTGTCAGCAGGTCGTAATTATTGCCCGATCCTCACGCACATTTCAATGGGAGTTACGGGCATTGCAAAAAGCCAAGCAGTTTTGGATGGCCATCCAAAAATATTCAATGTGTGAAATAGTTTGCCAACTTTTGTATACAAAATACGAAAATGTCCATGTAAGTGACTTTTTGGAGAATTCACAAATACAGGAAAGACGCACTTCTGACTATTTCGTTGAAGAATGTCTGTATGTCATATAGATGCGTTTCAGTCAAAAACCAATAATAAATGTTAATCTTTTGCCACTTCTGAGAGATTATAGGTCTTTGGGAAATATTGGTTCCAGATCTAGGAAGACCATTTACGTGCAACATCTACCAATAAATTGGAAATGAGCAAATTAGTTAAAGTTGCTATTATTCCAAAATTAGAGAACGAAACCTGATGGCTTTCTTTTATTATTTGTCACAATATCTTGTGGAATTCTTTCGAGTATTTCGCCTATATAAACTGTATCGTTTATTATAGTGTTGTAGGGTATTCAACGGTCGGCCCCGCTCGACTGTAGCCTTTGCTTACTTGTTTTTTAATAAAAATATTTGTATTCACATACTATTGGAATGTATCGCGAATTGTCAATATCGATGCAGCCATTATGAGTTATAAGCCGAGAAACTAACTGAAATTTCGGCAAGTATATATTTTAAAAAGCAATAAAAATGGGAGCGGCCCTGTATGTTTCGGGATTCTTATACCCTACAACGCTATGTGTTGGGGGTATCATAAGTTTGATTGGGCCAATAATTATGTAACACCTCGAAATAATGGTTTCTCACATAGGAAAGTATATATGGATCTTCCTATCTCGACGAGCTGAATCGATCTAACTATGTATGTCCGTCCGTCCGTCTGTCCACGTTAATTTGTAATCACGATACAGGTCAAAATTATGGTCCGATCCTCACGAAATTGGAAATGGAGGTGGGGTTATGGTAGAAGCCTATTGCTTTGACTAATCGACGCGGAAGTTAGCATGGGGCTAGAGCTTAGGGCTGGTCAGAAGCCTTTTAATTTGGATGGTCACTGGGGTATATTTAGTGGTTGAAATAGACCATAACATTTGTGTCTAATAAAACTTTAATTTTCCATTTAACCGCGAATAATTTTTAATCCCGGCGAAATCACAAATAGACGAAAAGGTCAATTCTAACCATTACGTAGAGGCCAATAGTCTATATATCGGATATATATACATAGCGAAATATATACAATGTGTATATACAAAGGAAGGGGAGGCTAGCTAGAATGCTTATAACTCCAAAAGTGGCTGGACCGATTTTGACAAATTTTGTCAATTCAGAATGCCCTCTTAGCATAAAAGTATAAAATTTCAAAAAATCGCATAAAAAGATGCCAATAATGACACAGAATACACATATTTTTTTGTTCTACCGAAACGCTGAATATAACTTAAAGGCGAAATCCAAAGCACACAAAAGGCGAACTTCTGGCTTTTTTATGCTGACTTCGTTGACGAATGTAGCCAAATATCGTAGACAAGCAAATCATATAGATGAGTGTAAATTTGAAAATACAGAAGGACTCTTGCTTCTGGATATGATCGCAAAATATTTAGGGGTTCAAAAGAATCAAAACCAGAAAAATTTTCCTGATCACAAAATTGAAACCAATCGACAACAAATTTTGCATGAAAAGATAATTAAGAACAGGAAATAAGTCTAGCATTTTAGATGATCATTGGATTATATTTAACTGTAAAACCACAGCATGGCGGAGTGGGTAAATTTTGGGCAAATGTCCCTGGTCAAAAAGCTAAGGGTAATATCTGGGACATAATTTCAAAATCGAAATCTTCCAAAATGGATTTGGACATAAGGGGGCTTCTAACATATTGTAGTGTTGTAGGGTATCACATAGTCGGCCCCGCACGACTATAGCCTTTGCGTAGCTGTTTAATAATAAGCTCCTTAATAATATATCTGATTACCTGTATAATACACACACAATGATCCATCGAAATGTGTGTTTAAAAATTCATAACGTCTCTTTAAAACCAAACCATTTATTAAAAGAATATTTGAAAACAAAAGCTTACAATTTTTTTTAAAATTAGAAAAATTATTTGAACACCTGTACTTAATAAACCTTTCTTTTAGTATCAAGGTATTACCTAGCATGATATTTGAAAATTTAAATTCTCTGGAAACATTAAATATTCAAAATAATAAATTGACTCGCTTACCGCAAGACATCATGGAGCACATCATCGACACGCTGCGAATAATCGATATAACAGGCAAGTACACAATATCTCCGGAAATAGCTCGAACAATAAAAGTTCTCTTATGACAACAATTTACTTTCAGATAATCCTTTGGTGTGCTCGTGCGAGTTGACCTGGTTCCCCAAGCTCCTGCAGGATCTCAAGAACAAAGACGATGAAATGGCTCAGAAAAAGAAACCCATCTGTCATATGCCCGTGGAGAATCGGGATTATTTCGTACAGTCGATGCCGCTGGAGAAAATGCACTGTGCCGGTCTGTCGTCCAGTGAAGCAAGTGATTTACTGGACACAAATGGTGTGTTGTTATGGCGTTTACTGCCAGTAAATATGCTTGTGACGTTTTTGTGTACTTTTTAAAGGAATCATGTGGTGGAAGTGGTAAACAAACGCACGCTACAATATATAACTATACCAACTACTACTACTACGACTATCGACACTCTCTTATTTTGTACAACAACAACTACTACACATGTATGTGTGAGACACCAATGAAAAGCTAAGTTAAAACAAACAACACGAAATGTTGCTAAAATAACAAATTGTTGTAAATTATTTGTGCAACATACAGACACGAGTTGTATGAACAGCAAGACGTACAGAAGAAACAATTACATATCAGAAAAAGAAACAGACTAGAATATCAACTACAACTGCAACAACATCCAAAAAAATTAGTTTAAGTACGAGCATTGCTATTTCTCGGGGTTTTTTAATGATGAGGAAAAAGAAAATAGCAAAGAAAAGGAATATATATATCCTTATTATATTTATATAACATGTAAGACAACTGTTGAACACACACACTAAACTTTACAATATATGTGTCTGTGTAATCTATTATTAAGGTCTGGATTTCTTTATTTCCATTTTCATTTTTTTACACCACATCTAAATGTATTTATCAATCAAGTAACTTCTAGGGATAAATGGTTGCAACTTTTTGAAAAAAAAAACAAACAAACATAAAACAAAATATCTACACTATATCGAAAACATATCACTAGTTTTTAGGAAAACACTAATGGAAATGAGAAATTAACAAGTAAACTTTTTTGTAGCATACTTTATGGGGAATTCAAAAAAACGTACTATTAGTACTATTTTTTCGATCCGTGCAGATTCTGGAACAGAGCATCTACACATATATATATTTTTTTAAATTATAAAGCATTTTATATATTATTTTTATAATTTATATTTTTTTGTTTTATTTTTATCTTCATATTGATTTTTAATGATAACTAACATTATGTATTTATATTTAATTTTGTAATTAAGGATTATTTTTTTACTTTATTTAAAATAATAAACTAATATAAACAATTTGAACATAATCACAATGTTAATTTATATTTTAAAAATATACCAAAAATGAATTAAAAATTTTATTTTTAATTTTTTCTGTGTTTAAATTTAACTAAAAGTTAAATATTTTTAAATGTTTGCATTTTTAATGCTAAAAATAATAATTTATATATTTTTGGAAGTTTTCACTGTAAGTTTCAGTGTAACGGGCCTAAAAGAAAAATGCGATCCTCAATAGACTCGAGGAATAAAATGGAGAATTGCGAGGAAAAATGTAATCCTCAGGGACCGGAAGATTTTCTATATATACTCCTAATGGTCCCAGAGTTTTAAATAGTAATTCTCAGAATTTGAATTTTCCCTGATAAATCAGAGACCTTTGTAGGATTTTTTCTATGGGAAAGATATTAAATAATAAAAAATATATATTATATTATCATGAATGAAAGAAACTTTTTCGGCAGCAAAAAAAAAAGTACTCCAAAGGGACCTGATGATTTTTTGTCTACGTAAACCTTGCTGATTCTGAGGATATCTTAGGCGACTTAAAGAATACTTTTTATAGAAAATGCTAAAGAACAGTGTTTGGCTTGCTTGTTTGGGATACCATAGTATTTTGTTTTTGCAAAATCGTCAGGCAAAATCCCATTATTGTTGTTTTTATAAAAACAACGTTTGTTTATGAGTGGAGAACGATGGTAATGTTTACCAGGGGGTAAGGCAGGGAATACCTAGGAAACCTAGAAAATGCTAAAGTTTTAGTTCTCTGGTTCTAAGTATTACTCTTGGAAAGTCAGGGTCCATGGGATTTTTTTATGGGAAACATCTTACCCCATTTGGATGTTGAATTAAAAAAGATCTTCAAAGGAACGTAATGGATTTTTTCTGCAGAAAAACTAGACCTCAGTCTATCCGAATAATACTTTCTTTGTAAGAAATTCTAAAGTCGTATTTGTAAGGAATATGAGGATTCTTCTTGTAAGATATCGGAGTTCCAAAGTTATTTATTTAATAATATAAAGGGTAATTCTCATCGATGTCGGAAATACAGTCATGGGAAATCTTAGGTTTTTGTTCTATAGAAACAACTAACTTGATAAAGAAATCCTCAGAGAATTTAAAGATGTTTTTGGGAAAATTATCCTTAGGGAAACCAATGAATTGGGTTACATTTTCTGAAAGAAAAACTTTCTTCAGGTCTCCTGTACACATTTTTTAAGATGTAATAACATTTCTTGAATTTACGAATAAAGGATTTTTCAAGATACCTGGAATTTTTCAAACCGCTAATATCCCTAAGGTTAAAAAAATATATATATATAAAAAAAAAAAAAAAATATATATATATATATATATATATATATATATATATATATATATATATATATATAAAGGATTTTTCAAGATACCTGGAATATATAAAAAAAAAAATATATATATATATATATATATATATATATATATATGTAAATAACATTTTTTGAAAGGAAAGGAAAAAAGGATTCATCAAGATCCCTGATGATAATTTTGTTGACATTCAAAGTCCTTACAAAATCAAAAAGTGAGAGATCTTTATAAACTTCTTTTTTATCAGAACAACTAATATTTAACAACCAATCAGTGTTGTAATTTCCCCCAAAGTAGTCTACGAAAAGTCCACTTAACTAATAAATTGAAACATTTTTTCTGAGCTTCTTTTGAACAAAAAATAAAAAAATTAAATTAAAAATTTTACAATAAAGAAAAAATGTGTAAAAAATCACTTGCCACGCAAATACTATTTCTACAAAGAAAACCACCTGCTTCAGAAACGACAACTCTCAACCCAAGTTGTGTTAAAATGTTAACTGTTTTTTTTTTAAGACTCAAAGGATATTGATGCAAGCAATGCGAAAAAGGGTTTCTAATGCAGTAAAAAATCATCCATATTAAATAATAAAAAAAAATTCAGTCCGAATGTTGATCGATTTTATGTTTTCGAATAAAATATCTATAGAAAATGTTCCATCAGAATGCAAATTTAATTTTCCAAATTCTTTATAGAAATATTTCACTTTAAAAGAACTTTGCAGAGTTCTATGTATCCTCTAAAAATACATGAATCAAATAGAACGGTTACTGCCTATGAAATACCCATAAAGTATACTCTGTATACCAAAAATATCGAAGGTCTTAAATCTATGGTTCACCTATACGAGTTATACTAATTGAAAAAAAAAAAAACATGCAGAAGTGAGGACACGAAGGAAGTCTTTAGTTATACGATTTCTTTATAATTTCCTCGCTTGTAGACGACTTATTACCATATCGAAAACCTTGTCCGCACCGTTGAAAGATTTACATCTACAGACACTCATAGCTCGAACGTAGCCAGAAAACCATTAGGCAAAATATGAGCTTTTACAAGCAAGCCGTTCCAAAAATGTCTAACAATTGACCACTTCGAGGAACAGGAACATACATACATATAAAAATCGACATGAAACTAAGGTCATTTCCTTGTAGTTTTTCCCTTTAACATCTGATGGAAAATTCAAACAAATCCTTAAATCTTAAATATTACAAATGAAAAACCCTAAACCCGCTTATCGGTACAAAAATCACATAAAAATATATAGACAGTACATATATATAAATGTTATCGTTGTTGTGAGATACAATCATTAATGAATTCTTTATTTTTTTGTTTCCTTTTTACTAAAACGTATTTATGGAAAATATTTTAGAGAAATTTTATAAAAAAAAGAAATATACAAATAAAATTAAATGTTTACAACTAAGTGTAATGAAAACAGAAGCTACAACTACACAAACTCTACAAAATTAATGCATAACAGTTAAGAGAGTTAAAAAATCTCACATCCCTTTCTTTCTTTCAAGGATCTGAAAAAGTAATATAAAATGCTTGAGAAAAAATTAATGAAAATAAAAATTAAATGCAAAATAAGAACTGATTTAAGGGCAAAACAAAATTAAAAAAAAGTGGTTTGTAGCTCATTTTTTTTGAAAAACTACAACATGAAAAAAGAAAAAAAAACTATTTTTGAAAAATTATTATAAGAAAAAAAAAAACGCTATTAGCTTATAAAACGAAATACATATCATCTCAGAATTTTTTTTGGAGAAAACAAAAAAGCAAAACCAAATTCAGACGAAACATATCATCTTAAGTGCCACAGGAAAAGGGGCTTTTTAAGAAGCACAAAAACCAAAACAAAACTAAAAGCAAATATTTTGAAAAAAAAAATATTTTTTGATATTGTTTTTATTATTTCTATTTTAATTTCCAAATATTATTATAATTATTTTTATCAATATTTTTGGTATTGCCTTTTTGTATTTATAATCAAAACCTTCTAAATTATTTACAACTGATCTGCTTATTACATATCAAAAGGTCAGCATATAAAATATAGCAGACAGGCAAATAATTCTACAAAGGTTTTATAAGACTAAGTTCCTTTTTATATGCAGAATATTGTTTTTTATAAATTACATGCTTACATAAAAACTATGTTATAACTCAAATTAAACTATGTAAAAGTTAACAATATAAACCGTTATTATACTACAACTCCAAATAACACAAGGGTCAGCTTATTAAAAAGAGTTGATAATATCGCTTTATATTAATATATATTATCTTTTTTTTAACAATGGTATAAAAGTATACAACTTTTTTAATATAAATTTTTATAATTTTAATTCTTCAATTTTTATAATGTACTTTATATAAAAATTTTATATAGAGCGATAACAAAAATTTATATTCATTTTTTAAATAAATGGAACCGAAACTGTAATGGGGATGCAATACATCCATTCCACAAAACTTTAGAGCGGAGTAAACAAAATTGGAAAGACTTTTTTTTGGGGAAAAAACTTCAAGGGAGATGGTAAGTATAGAAGGGCCTAACTATGATACAATAAAAAGATATGTTTTCTGAGTATATTCGGCTTTAAAAAAAAAACCAGTAAAGAAAGTCTTAAAGTCGGGCGGGGCCGACTTTATGATACCCTACACCACTTTGCTAATTTAGTAGAGCTGCACATAACAATTAAAAGTTTTTATCGGAGAATTCAATCATACACGCTATGATTATAATTATAATTTAAAGTTCAAAGGACTAAATATGCCGAAGCATTTGTATCTTT